CACCCATGCATGCTTACAGCTAGGTGAGGCCCTGCTCCCTGAAGATGGAAGATTCAGAGGTGGCCAGGTTGGCAGGTTGAGGGTGTGGCAGGGGGCAGGCAGGATCCCTAGAGAGCCCACACCCTGCCAGGCTGAGTACAGGGCCAGGGGAGGGGCCCTCCCCAAAGCTTTCCATCACAGTTCCCCATGCACCTCAATGCACCTCGCTATGAATACACTCATTAGCTGCTGTTTACAGCGGGCAGGGCACTCGGCATTCGGATGAACACAGCTATTACGGCCAACCAGCTGCCGCCCGCACACGCACACACGTAGGTACACACAGTCACCAAGCTTCTACCACCACCCCGTCTTCCCCTTCCCCCTCACTCGAGCCCTGCATGCTCTGTCACGTGGATATACCAATTCCCCAAATGTCCCAACCAACCACCCGGGGTGACACACCTTTCCCAAGGGTCCCTTCCAGGTAGAAGCTGACAAGCCTTTCTGAGTAGCCGACGAGCCAGCCCACCTTCCTATCGATGGGTTGGAATGCAGGCATAGATGCTGGACTCTCTCCAGCCCTTTCCACAGGTCCCATGCTGTCTGCCAACTCTGTTCCAACCCTTGGGAATTCTGCTGGGTGAGACAAAGCCTGGCCCTCCAGAGGCAAATTGGACAGAGCCCAGCAGGGCTACCCCCTGCTGCCTGAAGGTCAGCACCTCCATGTCCATGGAACTGGCACAATTCGCTTGGCACCACTGGCTGGGGTTCCCTGGCAAGGTAGAAGGGTACCCAGGCTTATCCTGGCACAGGCTGGCTCCGGCACCTGGCCAGAGCGGTAACTGCCCCGATAGAGAAAGCTGACCTCATTGGCCATGAGGCCACCTGTGGGCACTGACCATGAAATGGGGACTACCCACAGAGGTGTCTGTGCCCACCTGGGATATCGCAGTGTCTCTGAGGAGCCCATCAAAGCAACAACTCCTCCTCCTCCACTCAGGATTGAGCCTCCCAGCCAGCACATGGCCCCCTCAGCAACTACTCCCCTGCTGTTCTGGGCCTCACTCCCCTGGGGGAAGCAGTTATTGAAAACGGTCCATCAGATTCAATAAGAATTCAAAGTCCCTGAGAGAATAGAGGGGTGGGTGGAGAGTAGGGGTAGCTAGGAGGGGACCACATGCTCCTCCTTTGCCCTTCCCCCATGACATGCTTCAATATCAGGGCTTCAGGGCCCTTGCTCTGTTGCCCTTGGAGCCTGAGGGTCAGCTAGGACCAAGACCAACTGCCCAAAGACCTCTCTTTGCTTACTTGGTGTCCACCTGATCCTCTCTACCTTCTAGTTTTCCTCCCGCCCCTCCCCACCACCTATCACAAGCTGGCCTGTCATTGCCACCATGAGCCAACCTTCTCTGGCACCCCAACCAACAAGGAGAGGATTCAGGATCATCTCTTTTCTCCATCCCTGGGTTCGTAAACACCTAGCCTGAGGGTCGAGTTGTCTCCACAAAGCTCAGACCAGCACAGAACAGAGTCAGTGGAGGCCTGTCTCTACAGCAACTCTATAGCTTAGAGGGGTCCCTATACCCAAAGGTCATCCCCTCCCAGCCCAACATTAGACCCTTTCCCTGCCATAGCTGTTGGAGGGAGTAAGTGTTCTGGAGTACTGACCTCAGCGCCAAGCCCCGGACACCGACATGACAGCACATGGGGTCAGCTAGGCGAGGAATGTCATTTGGAGAGCAGTTGTCAGGGAAATTGTGGGATAGTCTGTTTTTGTTGGGTTTCTATACCCATCCTTGGCTCTGCCGCTATCCATGGTCCTCATACCACAAACTGAATCTGTTCTTTCAGCCTTAATTCCAGCCTCACACCAACCCCTTCATCGGACTCTGCCCAGGGAGAAGATAGGTAGATTTAGACAGTTACTTGCCACGCCAAGGCCCTCTGCCCTATATGATCTATATGTATATGTGTACATATATATGTATGTATATGTATCCCTTTGCCCCTAAGGAATGACCTGCCTGATGGAGTGTCTGTAGGGGACAGAGCCAATAACAGGTGGGACAGATAGAGGCTTCAGGCACTGCTGTCCTGTGGGATTAACAAAGTCCCAGAAGCCTGGTGACTGAGTAAAGAGACCTCAGAACCTGACCTCTCTCTCCCAGCCCTTCTCTCTTTAGCCTTGCTCACTAGCTCACCGCAAGGTCACTTCTCCCTCCCTCCTCCTTCCCACTGCCATCCTGCCTGTCCTGCCTGCCCACTGCAACGCTGACCCCTGCAGGCCTGCTGAGGCCCTGCCCAGCTTGGGGACAGGCAGTAGAGACAGACTAAGGAGGCAGGCCAGGCCAGCTTTGGGAGGCAGAGGATGAAGGACAGGAGGGAGAGAGCAGGGGAGGCTGCAGGTAGGGCAGAGGTGGCTGGCAGTCTGGAGCGGGAGCTCATGGGTGAACACGGGAAGGAACAGGTCTGCATTCTCCATCTGGCTCCTGTTCTCCTCCACCTCTGCTTTCTTTATAACACAGGAGTAACAGTAGTGCCTGGGGGCCAGGGACCAGGTGGGAAGGGAAGAGCAGCCATCGGGTAAAGTCTTAGTCTTAGGATGAGCCCTATGGGGACTAGCAGAGTGAGTGAGCCGAGGGAGAGAGAGTACCAAAGGAACACTCAGGAACTGACCCGGGGCACGAGGAGCAGAAGAGGATAAGGTATCTTTTATTTATTTATTTAATAAGGCGACAATGGGCCACAGGTGTTCCTGAGGAGATGGATGAGGAGACCAGGCTGTAAGAGGTACTGGCTCCTGTGGGACCAGAGGGGAGATGAGGGACTGGTCTGAGTCACACAGGAATTAATTTGCATATCTCACTCCTACCTGGTGCCAGGCAAAGGGGAATAGTGGGTGGTTAGAAATGGGGGACATAGGGCCCTAGCTGTGGGTAACAGAATCTGGGAGACCTTGAGTAAGTTGCTAGGGATGGGAGCCTCCCATAGAGCTTTGGGGGTTCTAGGAAGTGGGCAGTGATACTAAGGGTCACAAAAGGCCCCCAGAGATCCCAAAGGAGCAGGAACCAATCATACCGTACCCGCTACAACCTATTTTTAGTCCCACCAGCCCAGTGCCCACACAAGAAACAAGAAAACCTCACCAGCTTCCTTCACAGTCAGAACCAACCTTGCCACAGGCATTGGTGGACCCTGCAGTTTCAAGGGGGCAAGACAGGCAAGCAGAAAGGGAAAGGTTCAGGGGCGGCCAGGCTGTAAGGAACAGCTGTGGAATCCAGGCCCTTTGCCCAGAAGATGCCAAGCACGTCAAGTTGGCCTCTGTGGAGAGGGCAGAGGTGCTTAGAGGAGTGGTAATGTCACGGCGCCAAAGTATTAGAAGGGTACTAGTGGGTGGGTGAACCCACGGCCCCAGGCCAGTGGCCTCACAGCAATGGAGACTATCCCTACTGCACTCCCTTCCATCCTCATTCCTGATCTGAGCTCTGAACTGGGCTGCTCGGAATGAACCAAGCACAAGGATGCCCCTGCCCTTGGTCCAAATGCAGGAAGCTGACTTTTCCTGGGGAAAAATGTCAGGGTAGGTGACCTGGGTTCAGACAGATGAGGGAACAGCCCCTCAAAGGTAATGTCCCTTCAGTCCACACCTAGAGGACGTTCAGAGAAGGACATGACGATCCAGAGGAGACTGAGTCTCAGACCCAAGTACTGGGTGAGTACAATGTCTGCCACCCAGTAGGTCAACATCAGTGGACTTGGAGTGCCCTTTGAGAGAAAACAGCAAGTGTGGATTGGGCACAAATGGGCAAAGCCAGTGTCCACCAGCTTGCTGTGCAGAGCATTAGGGCTTGAGTCCCCTTCTATGGACGGTTTCAGGGTTGATCTTTCTCACAGCACCTGCTTTCCCCAGAGACCACAGCAAGGAATCCAGAGACTCTTGTAGGAGTGGGTCTTAGGCTGGAGCCCCCACTCTTAGCCTTGGAGAGCAGTCCAGAAACAGAGACCCCGGAGGCCAGGAGGTTGAACTAGCAGAAGTGGGGGTATGGGGCTTCTTCGGAGTCTGGGCTTTTTCTGGTATCCCAGGTGGGAGCTGGAACCTGGTCAAGAGCTGCAGGGGACCTGCCTACAGGTGGGCACTGCGTGGGGGAGGCGTCAGGAGCCAAGGAGGAAATGGCAGAGCAATTTCCCGAGGAAGGAGGAGAGATTCCTGGCTTGGGCTCTAAAGATGCCAGAAGGATGCTAAGCCAACAGTGGGCTCCCAGGCCACTCCCTTTCAGAAAGGCAAAGGGGTGCGGCCCCTTTCCCCTCCCTCCCTGGTAGGACTGGAGTGAGTTTGGTGTTCTTTGAGTCCCCCTCCCCAAGCCCAGGAGAACATTGCCTGGCCACCCCCATTGTCATCAGCCTCTGAGATTTCTCTTCAGGTACCCCTGCCTCCCTTTCACCGCTTCTGCGGTTCCCCACCCCCTAGAAGCCTCTATCCCCTGCCGCTGCACCAGATTCCCACTTGCCCCCTGGAGCCCTCTCAATTCACAGTTGGCACCGCAGATGACACTCCGTTCCTCTGTGCCCACAATCTTGGCCCAAAGATCCTCCTTGCCCCGAGGTCCCCCAACATTGACGTCCCCAGGGCACCGGTGCTGGGGAGCAGGGGGTACCTCTGAAGGCACTGCCCGGCTACCACGGGGACAGCAGCTCCTCGCTCCGCCACACACGTTGTCCTTGGGCTGCTGGGGGTGGGGGGGGAGGTCCTTGTGGGGACACTGCGAACCCGGCCCCGGGCATCCAACCTAGCAACGTCCCGACTGCGGGGTCTGAGTCTGAGTCTCTGCCGCTAGAACCCACGCCCCCGGGGCTGGGATGACCCTGGTAGGAAGGGGTGCAATTCGTGAGGCTCCAGCCGACAGCAGCCCTAGGCTGGGGCTCCGAGACGGCGACCAGGCGCTGCAGCCATCCTGCCCGCCGGTGCGGGGCGCCCCAGCCCGTGCGGGGCGCCCCAGCCCGCGCGGGGCCGCGCTTACCTGGGCTGGCCGCCTCCGGGTCCCGGTACATGGTCCCCTCGTCGCCGGCTCCCTCCGGGCTCCTCAGAGCCGCCTGCGGCCGCGCGCTGCTCTGCCGCCGCAGCAGGGCATGGGGCCGGGCGACCCCCGGGGGCGGGTCCGAGGGCGGGGGCCGCGCGGGCTGCACCGAGCCGCGGAGCCGGGGAGCGGGGGCCGCCCGCCAGCCCTCCCGGCCGCCCGCGGAGCACGCTGCCGCCGCCGCCGAGCCGCGCGGAGCCTCCTCCCTCTGGCCTGCGCGCCGCGTGTGCGCGCCGGAGCGTGTGTGAGTGTGTACGAGGCGGAGTGTATGTGTGTGTATGTATGTCTGTGTGTGTGTGTGCGTGCGTGTGTGAGTGTGTGTATGTGTGTGTGTGCGCCCGGGGCACCGCCGGCGCCGCCCGCCCGTCGCCGAGCGCCACGGCCACTGTCACTGCTGCGCCCACTGCCGGCCGCGCGCTGCACTGCAGCCCTGGACTGGCCGCCGCCGCCCGGAGCCGCCCCGAGGGCACGGCCGCCGCCCCGCACACCCCAAGCGCTCACGAGGCCCGCCTGGAAGGGCCGCGGAGCTCCACGGCTAGGTTTGTCCAGACTATGGAAGACGTGACCCACTCGGCCCTTGCGCCACGGGTGGCAGTGGACTCGCAAGCCGCAGGGTCGCCCAGATGGCCACCTCCTCCGAGGTGCCCTCTTGACTCCGTTCCGAAAGGCGTGGAGATCCGCCCCGTGTTTTCCTCTCGGTGGCCACTCGAGGGCGTTAGCTCTGGACTCAGAACAGCGGAGAACCAGGGAAGAAGGGTTGGTGGGTATCAAAACCAGGAGTGGAGTGTGTTGCCAGCGCTGGGCCTCGGTCTGACAGTCTTGTCTTTCTCAGAGCTGGTGCGCTGCAGGAACAGATAGAACTAGAATCTCCACCTTCCGTGGGGTACTACGTATCGCAACCTTTCCCACCTCTTCGAGCTCCGTGAGAAAAGAAAGCAGCTGTTCAGCCCCTATTCATTCCTTTCTCGACCCTGTTCTCCCGGTCCTCCCCTTTCCCTTGACCCACTGTGCCCCTAGTAGAAATGAAATCCCCTTCTGTCAACCTTGAGGATCTCTTGGAGCTCTCTCTGATATCTGCTCCTTGTATCTGTTTAACGTTTTCCAAATCTGACGAACTCTGGGACAATATGATTCTGGGGCAGGGAAGAGACAGAATCGTGTCTCAAGAACTTTAAAGGCCCAGGACAGAACCATGGGGATGAGGTACCAGGCCTCCTCACACACACACATCTTTACACGTCTCTGCCCCCAGTACCCAGAAGTATACGAACAGCCTAGTTCACAAAAAGTCACAGACCCTGCCCACCGTGCAGGTCTTGCCCCTACCCTGCCCTGAAAGGGGTGGGTACAAATGGCAACATCCCTCCTTTCATGCAGTTGACAAGTGAACCAGGCTTTCCAACACTGAAGGTTTTTGCTCTCAGAAAGCCAGCTAGCTGGCTTCATACTGTGTGTGTGGCTCATGCCCTACCATACCTCCAGCTCCCTTGTGGTACCGCAATCAGCATCCATTGGGACAAATCTTTGCTCCAAGTGTCCCTCACTGTGTGTGTGTGTGCATCACACACACACACACACACACCATTCCCTGGAACTCACATGGAGATTACCCCCACACACAGACACACACACACACAACACACATTCACCTCCTCCCACAGCTTTTCCGGTTGAGAAATAGATAAGGAAATTCCCCCAGCAAACCTCCAAGATTGTTCCGGTGGAAAACAGATTTCCTGGGATTGAATATTCTAATTAAAAATGGAAGGGGAAGAAAGGCATGTGTAGGTTAGGGCCTGTAATTCTCCAGTGCCCAGAAATCTCAGCCCTCCTCCTGAGGTCAAGGGCTGTTTTGTTCCACATGCTGCAGCCACCCTCACTCACATGCAGCCAAGAATCCAGGAGCTAGTCATAGCCTGTGTTGTGGGGCCCCTGAAAACCCTAGGAAGCCAAGCCAGTAGGCTAGGGTCCTAGGGTCTCCAGCCTTTCCTCACTGCTCCTTCTGAATCCATCTGCCTCTCAGGGCCTTGTAGAGTGAAGAGTGCACTACCCCTATCCCAGCCATCAGTGGGTACCCAGGAAGGGCCCCCCCTCCCCGGGGAAATCTTCCTACTCCAGATCCCTCCCACCCTCCTAAGAGAGAGGTGTGGTGGGGAGCATAATCCCTTCCGTTGTAACTCAACATGCCCCCCCCCCCCCGCTGGGCATCTGGAAGCTCCCAGTTTCTCAAAGCTGATGAAGAGGACATCAGGAAGATGACCCAAGCCACCTCAGGTGAAAAATGGTGAAAGTCAAGCCCCTAGAGGAGACCCAGGAGCCAAAGCTCTGAGAGCTCACAGCCCAGGGTGCTGCTAGGGGACCTGGAGAAGTCCTTGCTTTAATTCCCAGATTTTCGCCTGCGATTCTGAGATCCATGAAAAGCTCCTTCCACTTGCTCCCATCTCAGGGCTTACAAATAAAACGTACTTCATTCTCTCTCAGCAGGCATGAAATAGCCACTGCGCCAACACAGAGGAGATGGACAGTCCCCAGACATGCTAGATCAAAACCTCAAGAGATGGCTTTGTGCAAAACAAGGCTCCAGGGCATTGTGGGTTTGGGTTTATTTCTTTTTTCTTTTTATTTTTTTGAGTACTGGGCACTGAGTCCAGGGCCTTGTTCTCACTAGGGAAGTAATCTACCACTGAGCTAAATCTTGAACCCCTTAAGACTTTGAAAACCCCTTTTCTGTGGGTCTCAAGGGAAGCAGCAGCATTGGAAAGAGGATGAAATGCACATGCCATGCATAGCTGTAGTCAGCCTGCACATACATGTAGCTCTGCCATTCATAGCTGTAGTCAGCCTGCACACACATGTAGCTCTGCCATGCATAGCTGTAGTCAGCCTGCACATACATGTAGCTCTGCCATTCATAGCTGTAGTTAGCCTGCACATACATGTAGCTCTGCCATGCATAGCTGTAGTCAGCCTGCACATACATGTAGCTCTGCCATTCATAGCTGTAGTCAGCCTGCACAGACGTGTAGCACTGCCATGCATAGCTGTAGTTAGCCTGCACAGACACATGTCTCGGGGCCTTGGTTTCTTCATTCTGCACAACGAGGATAGCAATACTTATTTCTTTGATTACTGTAAGATTAAATGTGATACCATTAACAATACTTGAAGCATCTGATTTATTCTTGATATTGATTCCTTTTTTTTTTATTCTTAAGAGAGACGCTGTATACACTCCATTCTCATGTTTTGCTTGTTGAAGAAATCACTTCAGAAGCAGTCTAACCTCAAACCATTTTGCTGCATTTGAAGGCTCCTCTCTCCTACTGGAGCAGCCTGAGAGCCCAGCCAGCTGGGAGTTGCTGCCTTCTGAGCACTCACAGGGACTAGGCAGAGGCAGGAAATGGGGTTTACCAGAGAGCTTAGGTCCTTGGACAAAGAACCCAGGAGACTGTGAATTACCCCCACCCTGCCATCAGGTCCTGGGCCTCTGGAGGGGACTTCAGGAGAGGCCCTTTCCTTCCATGACGCTGCTGGGTGGGCCCCTGTGTCCTGGGTTCCATGACGTGGCAAGAAACGATCACAGCACCTAGTTCTCCAAGGACTGGCTTGCTACATGCCTTAGACCCCTCAGGCCTGTTTCCCATCTGATGCAGTCATTGAAATCAGGTGTCCTGGGTCAGCTGCAGGCTGAGAGTAGGAGCAGGGAGGGACATTTCGTCCCTCTGGAGCAGATGCCAGGCCTCCACTCTCCCAAACAGGGCCCCCGAGGCCACCTGGTTGTGTTGCTAGGTCACGGCATGGAGGCAGGGCTCCTGGGTCCACCAGCTTCTTCCCTGGCATGATATCCGTACTGGCTGTTTCCCTACAGCTTCTGTCCCCTCACCCCCACCCACCAGACTACAGGATGAATTATTAATAAAAATGCTGAGGAAGCTGCTTGGGTGTTCATGTGACAGAGCAAACATACCTCTCCCCTTGTCACCATCCATGTGGCACCAGACTCAGACTGAGCATTGGCCTGATCCAGCAGTGACAGACTGAGACCGGCTAGCTCGGCTCCACAGAGCCTGGGCCAGCCAAAAGCACTTGCCCCATAACCCTGTCCCTGCCCCCAGCCAGCCCCTACCTCCTATGCAGAGGCCTAGAGTCTGGAGTGCGTAAGAGTGTAGGATTAACAGATTAGCCAGGTGTGGTGCTGAATGCCTGTAATCCTAGCACTTGGAAGATTGAGGTAGGAGGATCAGGAGTTCAAGTTTAGCCTGAGCTGTAAAAGATACTGTCTCAAAAGAACAATAAAGGGGTGCCATCACCTTGAAGGGACAGGACACAAGGCCATGGCAGCTATCACCACGCTTGTCTCACAGAAAGAGGTGTAATCCGTACTTTTGGATCTCCTACCCATGCCCAGCCCTGTGCCTCTCCTGCCTTGCAGGCCTAGTTCTAAAAAGATGGAATCCATGCCACAAGATCAAGAGCAAAATTGTCCTGTGCGCTGCCCTGCCTCTGTTTCTCTAGCCACTGATCACTTACTGGGTATCTCTGGGCCTTGATTTCCCCATCAGGGCTAAAAATAATACTGCAGAGATGTCAGAATACTTTGGCAAGATGTCTTTCTGGCTCCCCAGCGGTGACCCCAAAGCATCAAGAACCCTGACCCCAGCTGATCTCTCCATAGCTGCAGGCACTCAAGAATCCCCCAGGCTGTTGCAAGTCCAGAAGCGTTCTCTTACCAGAAGTCCCTCCTCCATATCACCTGTCCTCCCATGTGTTTCTCCCCATCTTGATTCTCTCTCTCTTTTTAAAATTTTTAAAACATTTATTTTTATCTATTTGTGTGTGTGTGTGTGTGTGTGTGTGTGAGAGAGAGAGAGAGAGAGAGAGAGAGAGAGAGAGAGAGAGAGAGAGAGAGAGATGCACATATGCACATGCCCTGGCTTGTGGGCGTAGCTCTCTCCTCCCACTGCATAAGTTCCCAGGACGAGTTCAGCTCATAGGGTTTGGTGGTAGGTCCCTTTGCTTGCTATCTTGTGCTCCTGTCCCTCTTTTCTTCATGTTCCTCCTGATAGCTATCCTTTCTTCACTCAGCTTTTGTAGCATCTGCCCCCAAAGCTGAAAACAGGTGGCCTTCTTCTAGTCACCTCCTCCGGGGACAGCTACAGCCTTAGAGGGAAGCTTGGTCTCAGCCTCTTTGTTGATTCTTGGACTGCCCCAGGCCTCTGAGACTGGCTGAGGCCCCTTGGAAACTCCTCTGTTCGCCGATGCCAAGCTCAGGGAGCTGGGGTAAGACCCTCAATTCTTCTGAGACTCTATTTACCATTCAGTGCCATAGGGATGCTGTTTGACCATCTTGGTAATGTCTCAGACCCTTCTGGGGATCTCATCTCCCTAGAAAAAAATGCAGACAGAGATACAACATTTTGCTTATCAGTAAGTGTGTGGTCTAAAGTTTCCAGAAAAAGCTCCCTTGTCCTGAAGCTCCACAAGGTGGCTTCCAACAGCCTCGGCCCACTTCTTTGCACACCTTGCCCTCCCTGTGATGACTCTGGGTCATG